TTTGCCCCACAGTAGCTTTCAAAAAATATTTGCAAAACAATCTTTCCATCAAATAGTTCATGACCAGATTGGTTTAAGCAATTAAACCATCTGTATTGAAAATAAAATGTCCACGCCATTGCACCTTTGAACTGACCTTTGTCAATGGACCAAGCAGAGTCTTTTACTTTACTATTTTTTTGAAAACACCACTGCATTTATAATCAGTCTAGTTCTATTGGAAAAAGAAAAACACTGCACAGCAAATATCAACTTTTCATATTTGCGATTGTCATTTTTTTAATACACCAATGTGTAAACACCAATCTCAAAGTAATTTTGTCGTTGTAAAGAAGCATTTTAACTGGATAAAGAGCAGCCTGCAGGTTCTACAGACGTGCATAAAGAATGAATGGAGCATCTGTAATTAATCCCATCCTCCCATTTGGAAAACTCACAGTGTGCATAACTGTCACCCGCGTCTCCATGGCAACCTCGCACTTCCGATTGAGGAAAAACCGCGGAATAGATCGCTCATCGCTTCCATCATTTCACGGTTCAAAGCGCTTCCCTGACACTGTGGCACCAAGAATGTATTCAATAATTCAATTTATGAGAATGGACATGTTTCAATTGCTGCGGTAGTAAATCATTGTCTGGCCTTCCATAATTGTGGTAATGAAGCTGACAGCGGTGGCTCCAGTACGCACTGGGGCAATAGTCATAGTGTGTGTGTGTACATGTGTGTGCGTGCATGTGTGACTGTGTGTACATGTGTGTGTGCGCGTGAAAAGACAGATGCAAAGGGCCTTCTGAGACTGGCAGCCTTGGGTGTGTGTGAGCAAGTAAGTCTACATTTATTGACAGTGGCTTACTAAAGTTCATGCTTTTTTGGCGTTCCGACCACAAACGTAAAGATTTATTTCCATCTTTCAGTCTCGGGATGTGCAAAATCTCATATGACTGAAGACAAAAAGAATTTCCACAGTCTTAAAGGAGCAATATGTATGAAATCTGGCCAAAAGTGGTACTGCAGCCTCTCCCACTCTCCCTGACTCAGGTTGCCAGATATGCAGACGAATTCAGCGAGTTTTGTCAACAACAAATCTATAACCAACACCTTTTTCACAAATCCTCTTTTATTCCTTGTTTTGTCATGAATGATTTGAGGATCATAACGAGACCTTTTTTTGTTTTGCGGCCACATGTTGCTTTACCAGTGAGATTAGCTTGGCGTGGTGAGTTCTGGCAACCCGGACCACAGACTTCCTGATTGGTTAAACGGTGAAGGGCGGGATATCGAAAAGAAAGTGATAACAAGAATTAGTGTAAATCAAGTTTTAAATCTGAATATTCCGGCTGAACTACTATTATCAGTTAAAGAAGTATTCGAAAGAGAATTGTTTATTAATGCCTTTTGACATATTAGGGCCATTTAATGATGACTTGACATGAAAATCTACATATTTAACTTATTTTGCTTTCACTTTGTCACTGTCACTTTGTCATATACAAATATTTCGATAGCTGTTCCAGATCTTGAATGTTACACACCGACTCCCCGTGTGTAGTTCAGGACTAACCCCAACCCTTACATTCACCGTATTCGCAAACTACTGTTACAGGCAAAGAAATCAACAGAACCTCCGATTATTTTTGATTGCCGATCACTTCGCCTACTTTGCTAAAGCGATGACGGCCTCCTACACAGCAGCCAGCGTTTGTTCGACTGATTGACCGTGTTGTAAAGAGAGAGAGGGAGTAATTGCAGAGACAAAAATTGTGTGGGATAAAAGTCGAGGAAGAAAAGGGGATGTCAAAAAGTGCGCTGGCAACATGCAAGTTTTGAAATGCATAATTGGACAGATGTAGCTCTTCTTATAAAAACCAAATGTAGTTGCGCTTCTGTCAACTACATATTTATTCAAAGTATTGGTTGTTGGCTATATAAAAATAAAATCTGTCTTGAGCAGAATGTAAACACTGCATTTTAAGGTAGCTTTATTGCATGAGCATCTGCTAGCCATGCACACTTTTGCGTTGTGGCGTCGTGGCATTGGTTGAAAGAAACGTTTGTGAGACATCTGTGGATTCTCAAAATGTATGTTTTGATGGTTAGTCACATAAATTATCCAAACACTTAAGAGATTGAGGATTGTCGGAGAGAGTCAATTTCCAAGCTCCATCTTGCAGTTTCGATCGTGAAGTTTCGTTGTATATTTCCAAGCAGAACTGAAGGCTTGATTGGGGGTTATTTTCAGCTCTGTCTTGCATAATGAGCAGAAAAACTATGTTATTCTGTAATGTTATGTAAATGCATGAATTTATTTTAACATAAATTAGGTGCAAGTAAGCGCTGCCACTGGAAACCAAGACGCTAGAAACCCTAAGAACCATGGACTTGTGATTAGCAGTAATGACGTAAGGGCAACCATGACATGACACCGACAGCACTGGGGGCTTCTAAAAAAAAAACAAAAAAAAACAACATAACCAACAATTGTGAAGGATAAACCAAAGTGAGTTTAGGCTAGGGGTGGGCGATATGGACAAAAATAAATATCTTGATATTTTTTTCCCAACTTCCGAAAACGATATTGTCACGATATTTTTAAAATCAATACACAAAATGATCTGTAATGTTTTGCTGCCAGGGCATCTATGGACAGAGACAGTGTAGATCTAAATAGAAGCTTAGCATTTGTAAAGTGCTTCACACATCTTTGCAAAACATGCGCTAACATAAAATAACATTAAAAATCTAATTCAAGTATCACAGAAAGAACACATCCAAAAAGGCTCAATATTTACCAAAATGTACAAGCAGTGATTTGTAGGCACACACATGACGAACGGGCATCTGTCCATCTCTAATTGTAACAGGTATTGAAAAATAAAAAAGACGATAATACAAAAAAGCATATCTTCAAATTGACTTTCACGATATTATTGTCTACGATATATTTTGCCCACCCCTAGTTTAGGCATTGGAAAAATCACTTTGAGAACTACAGTTTTGGCGACTGTTTCATTTCATACGCTCAAACATCCATCAATCCAACTCAGTAACCCAGTCACTTGTTAGTAATTTAGTTTTGTTTTAGGCCAATTAGTTTTTGTTATTGGAATAATGGAATAGTATTAGTTTGAACATGTCTCAAGAAAGGTAGAGGAGGGAAAACAAGGTTAATATTGCTAAGAGTCTCCATTGTAACTCTACAATTTAAGATTTGAGAAAGTCTGACAAAGTCTTTGATCAGGCAGGCGCGCTGAAGTTCCCATTGTCATAAAACACAAAAATCAGAACTTTACTAAACGTTCAACCTTCAATATTTTTTGTCAACTACGTAGAACAATAGACTTTCTCCGCCATAGCAACCGTTGCCTCCGAAACACCAGCATTCTATACACCTCTCATCACTATTCGCAACAACAGACTAAATTTGCACTTGGAATTTTGGAATTTGCACTTGAAAACGCGTCAACCGAGCGCTCGCTAATTGAAAGTGTGCGTTTTATCTTGAGGCGCTTTCTGCTTTGTTTGATGCAGAGTTAAAATGCAGACCATGTTGGACGACTTCATATAAAAGAATGGCCAGATTCAATATATCGACAGTTTTGGTTCAAGTTGACCTTCTGTGTCGGTGATCAAAGATTGTAGTGACGTTTGTGAAGGACTGAACATAAAGCAGCAGATCTTGGTGTGGCAATGATTCAATTAGGCTCTGGTCATTTTATAAGTTGGGTTGGAGCTTGTTTGGCAATAGGTCAGTGGGTAATTTAGGCTTGGCTACATTTGGAAAATGTCACTATGCGATTATTGTGGTTTCAGTGCAGGTTAATGTTATAAAAATGCTCAGAGAAAAAGATTGGATTAATCTACGTACAGTATATGGCCAAAATCCTGTTTTTTTTACTTACTTTTTAAATCAGTGATTGTGTTTCAAGTAACAATATAAGTTCTTGCTAAATTAATTAGAAAAAAACTAAACTCAATCATAAACACTAAAACTACACTAATCCCAGAGTCCCAATCCATAAACCAATGTGACCAGGAGTCTCCAACGTTTCACCCCTAGAGAGAGTGTTCTTAATGGGGCAAAAATAGTCGAGAGTGACTCTTTTATCCAGTCAAGACAATGATGAGTTAACCTGAGATGGGCAAGAGTTACTCAAATGTCCTTAAAACAATGTAAGATCTACTAATTAGTGCAAAAAATTAAAGTTTGAATCTACAGTAGTTAACGTCTGAAAAATTGAGTAGATCATATAAAATTTTTTAATCCTTTGGGGAGTTACTTGGAAGTGTGATTATCATGTTTCGTCACATTGCATCACGTGATCATGTGACAAGAAGCGATTTTAGCAATATTTTTGTTGTTTTGCATGTTCGGAGAAGGATTAACCCAACGCAGAGGGTTAGCATTAGCTATGTGGTCAATGTTACGGGATGTATAAGGTTTTTCGTCTTTTTTTTCCTGAAATTGTCTGGTTGGCCAGGTCTGACTACTGGTTTTAGCACAATCTCGGCTAAGAGCAAAGATTAGATTGAAGACCTGCATGTGAAATCCAGATACCCTCAGACCTCTGAAGATAAGCAGGGCAGGGCCTGGATAGTACTGTTATGGTAGACCTCCATGAACACCAGGTGCCAAAGGGCGGAGGCTGAGACTGTAAAGTACCAAACTTAGCCAAGACAATAGGTCTGGTGTATGCGTGGTGGTGGTGGTCTGAGGGGCCGACGGCACAGACTGGTGGCCTCGCTTCTCTACTAGTTTATCACAACCGTGTATGAAGTGAATGGATATTGACTTGTCTTCGAGTGTACAAAAAAAGTGCTATATAAACCCAATGCATTTTAATTTTATATTTCTGTATTGCTACATTCTTGTAACCACCCGGGTAACTCCAGCCGTCCGCTCTGAACTCATAAACAAGCAGTGTGTCCAGAGTTGGCGCTGCCCCCTTGGAGACCTCCATCTGAACAGGTGTCCCGCGGCGCCCTTCTCCCCCAGCACTCATCATGTTTCGGGGCAGAAAGTCTGGCGCTCTGTGGGTGATGGAGAGGTGTGACTGGCGGGGCAGTGCTGCTCTCTGGAGAACCCAAGTGTGAATGCTTGGATGTTAGCGCTGATAATCCCACAGTCTGACCCCCTGCAGTGGGCATGTGTGCAGTTGGAGGCTGGAATTCACCGCACACACGTTTTAAGCTCTAGCCCATGTGTTATATATTATATGGAGGCCTGTAAAAATCGGTAATACAACTTGAACTTTTCTCGTTTTTTATGATAGAGATTCACAGATTGGATTCTGGCCTCATAGATAGGATCACAATCAGAATTATTTTTATTGCCACTTCTGAAATGTATTTATGCACTTCTCTGACTCCGGTACTTCTGAAATGCATATATTACTCTGACTTAGAACTTATTTTAATTATGCAATGAAGGGGTAGGCGTTTTACTTCTGCCTACTCCTCTGAGCTTTTATAGCACTTCCACAAACATTGTCTCTTTTATTTTATCAACTGTATGTATTGCTCTGAACTGAATTGAACTGATTTCTATTGTAAGTGACAGGAAGTCCGAATTTTTGGTGTGGCTTTAGATGCGGACAGGTTGCAAAAGTAAAAATAGAAATGAGGCGTAAAAAATCTTCATAGTGTTTCTTAAAATTACTACCATGTACCAGTGCAAGTAGATTGGGTATTGCTTTGATGATATTGGTTCAGTTGATATCTTGATAAAGCCTGTATTGGATTTAATACATCTGTTTTTTTATCTGATACTAGCCCAGAACGTCATGTAGGTTTAACTTTTACTCAGACCGTGGTTATGTTGTTACTTGCCAGATCAACAGCAAGTTTAAAATACAATTCGACCTTTTTTTAATACATTAAATAAGATTTTAGGGGGAAAAAAATGCCATCTCTCTCTTTTCTCAAAAATGTAAAAAAAGTAAATATCCACGAACGGAAATGTCTTTTAAGTTTTTCTCTTCTTCTCTTTTTTTTAAACAATATCCATGAAGGAATATTTGGTGTCTGTATTACAATTCCAGTTGGTACTACCCATGTTTATTTGCAGCCTTAAAAAACAACGTTCATTTTAAATGGTCAAAAATCAACATCTGCATCAGAAAACCCATATCGGCCCATCTCTACTCTCGAGTTGTGATTTAAAATACCTAGCATAACTTTTTTGCAGTAGGAAAATTAAGATCCCTCAAACCAGATAGCATCTCCAACCTCTGGCCTCTTGAACCCCTCCGCTCGACTTTCCATCCCGGTCCCGGACAGCTGTGAGCGATCGCACCGGCAGCTCACGACACATGGCATTCCCTTCCATCTGCTCCCCGCCCCGCCTCGTCCAATAACTCTGCTAATGACTACCCCAGCCCTGCCACTCGCTCGCTCGGAAGGAGGGGAGGGGTTCCAGAAGAAGACATCATCCCAGAGAAGGGGAGCCTGTTGAAAGCCACCACCGCACACACGAGTTTTGGAGACGGTACGGGGCACACTGACCTCAAGACTGACCCTTAAAAGTGACAGCTGCAATTACAAGCTGCAACTTGTGGGAATTACAAGCAAAGAGGGAGGAAAAGATGGAAGGAAACTTTTAAGGGTCCTTAAGTGAGTGAAAGAGGCAATGAAAACCCCACAGAGCACAAATAAAGTTTATATTTAGAAAGGACCTACATAGATTTTGGTTTTAAACTAAAGAACTTATTGTATATGTTCATTGTTTCGTATTGAAGTGAATTGTATATTTTTGTATAGCCCTGAATCACAACAGTAGTTATCTCGCAGGACTTTGCAAAACCGTCAAATTCGCCAACACGGATCAGAGCTCAAACACAAGAAATGCAATGATGAAAAAACTTAAAGTGCCATTGGTCCAAAAGTGGCGGATTTATGTCCATGAATGTGGATAAAGTCCATAAATCTCTTTAAAAACATTTAGGGACTCAAATCAAATTCATGCTTGAACTTTGATTTCAGTATCAAAGTTTAAACTTGAACTTCTTGAGGGCGAAGCTTTGTTTCCCAACTCTTTTTGTGTGAATAAAAAAGAGTTTGATCCAGCAAAAAGTTAGTGAATCTACATTTATATAAAAAAAAGGAATATATTTGAAAACCCATATCTTTTGGGCATAGAAAGAGTTCTGTGAGTCAATATTTGACGCTTTGGGCTAAGATCTGAGTGAGGGTGGACTCTGTCTGAAGCTGATCAAAACATGTGGCTGAAAACATATGAAAAATAGTGGTGGAACCAATTTGTTGTGAGACCAATTACATCCTGAAGCTAAATTTGTTGTGGCTTGAAAGTTAGGTACCCCACCCCAGCTGTCACACAACTCTTTCTATGTCCAAAAGACAGGGGTTTTGTTAGCCTGGCCTTTTCCATCCGTACACTCCGCTCAATCATTATTTCACTGCATGTAACGTCTGGGTCTGGTCCCTGTGTTAGCGAATACAATCGGTCGTATTTCAATCTGAGCGCGGAAGGCGGGTGTTGTAGGTCGGTGTCGGTGACGTCAAGAGTTTGCGCCGAACGGGCAGGTTGTAGTTTGGCGAAGAATGTGATAGTAAAGTAATCTGGTCTGGTTCTATCAAGAAATTTAAGCAGGAACAAGAGGAATGTTTAGCAAATGTAATCGCTGGTCAAGATTGTGGCGCTACTCCCCACGGGCTCCGTTAGCGGCAAAGGAGATGGCTAAAGCTAGGCTAAATGCTAACAACAGACTCGGGCGCACTACAAACGTCACGGTAAACTCAGATCCAATCGTTTCAATCTGCAAAAGGGGTTAACCCCTCCCACCTGTTCACGGAGCTCAATGGAGCAAATCCAGACCTTAGTATGAAATGTAATTTGTACTATGGTGCGGTACGACCAGGCTCGGGTTTTGTCTGTTATTTTTAATTTGGATAGAAGAGCTAGCCACTGAAAACACACGCAGATTCATTTGACTTTTCTCGAATAGAACAATAAAAAAATAGCTTGAAACCACATTTGCTGTAAAACTCCCTGACTTCTATTCCCTATTTACATGATTTAACATAAAATGCAGTCGACCCACAAAACATATTCATAGCTGTTCCTTGTCAAACTTGTAAACCGTCGGACATGGAAAAAAACATCTTAAAGAACAACTTGTCACATTACCATATTCCATCCTCTGACTCTGACTCAATGCCATGTTCTTTGAAACTCATTCCTCTACCCGTATAAATTCAAAGGTAGCTGACATTTTGATTTGGTTCCGCCTTACTCCTCGCTATAATTGGTCCATAGAAACTTTTGAACACGCTGTCACAACACCACGCATTAGTCCTTGATTAAAAACACAACTGTGGACCTGGATCATTCCTTATACTTTCACGATGAGCTGATAAGAAGCCGACACTTTCGCCATTCCCGCTGTCATAAGTCTTCGCCGAACTGTCCTCTCCGACAAAAGCTTCCCTCGGATAATTTCGCTCATTTTCTGCCCATTTTTCCCAGTCATCTTTCTCGGCAGATATTGTTCAGCGACTATCACTCCTTCCAGAGCTGCACAAAGCAATGAAAACACGGCGCATTCAATTTACGAGACGCCGATGATTAAAACGACGGTTCGCTCTTTCTCTCGCTGTCAGTTATTGGACTCGTGGGAAATGTGTCTTGGGCCTGTGCGAACAAAGGTTGTACAAAACGCCATAACCAAGTCGTAAATAATGGATAAAGATTGAGCAGAGGGCAAGCTAGAGCGACCGGCCTGGTACCATTTAGGATGAGGGAAGAGTTTGGACTTTGGATTCAAGGATTATTGAAGCCATTGTAGTGGAATCCCAGCCAGACCAACCAAGCGTCCACGCGGGAGGGAGGGTGGGCGTTCATGGGTTAAGACGATTAGAGCTGGTGATTCACACCAAGAAGATCCAGGGTTCGAATCCATCTCCAGACCTTTCTCTGTGACGTTTGAAAGTTCTCCCTGTGTTCGTATGGGTTTCCTCCGAGTGCTCCGGTTTTTATACCACTAAAAACCTGTATGACAGGGGCGTCCAAACCTTTTAGTAAGAGGACCAGTTTGGTTTTTGACTGGCATCGGGCTGTTCTGAGATGTATGAATATCTCTAACAGAGCTCAGATTCAGATTCAGATTCATTTATTTGCCATTTGCAGTAAAACCACATTGGAAAAACTGTGCAAGACTACCCCGGTGTGCACCAGACAGAGAAGACGACACACACCAGAGCTCTTGCCACGAAGCTGAAGTTGACTGAATGATAAATGTTTGCCATCTCACCAGCTACATTAAGCAAGTGACACAATCAAAAACCACGTCGGTGAAGAATGTGCAAATGAAGTCAACGATGTACTGGGCTTTAGAACAAGGTCTATATTGGCAGAGCTGAAGTTGGATGGATGACAAAGTGAACTTGTGTTTGTGATTTCAAATACTACTTTGGGTTAGCAAGGCATAGGGCCGCGTACAATGACACTGAGGGCCGCAATTGACCCCCGGGCCTGAGTTTGGACATGCCTGCTGTATGGCGACCCCGCTCCCATCGCCAAGTGGACTGGGAGACAAATTCCCACTACAATTGTAAAGCGCTTTGTGAGACACAAAAAAGCGTACTTTCTTACTTGCATATAATTATGGATGAGACGAGACAGTTTAAAGACAGAGATCGGGTCTACAATAACGAAGACCCAATCTCAAAATTTTGGAAGGAGAAATGTTGCTATTGTTTATGTCAAATAATTTGCTAAAAAGAAGAAAAAAAATACATATACATAAAATGTCTTAGATGCAATAATTATCACATTTTTGGATTAGATTTTTATTTTTATTTTTATTTGTTTAAATTATTATTACTATTGACATTTTAAAAAAAAAAACCTTTAACCTTCATTAAATTAAATGTACATTGATCAATAGTTTTGTATTTTATTTCAAATGTGGCAGAGGCGCGACCACTATTCTTTCATAACCCAGAAAGTCTTAAAAACAATTCAAGATGACTGATCGAGAAATTGCGCTTTTCTGTTTTCAATATATTTTTGAAAACCTTGAAACTCTACTTTTCATAAGATCCAACCGTTTATTTTTATTTCCATCAAGAGTGTGTCACGCAGTAGTAGCACACAGTATTCTCTCTCCATAATCTCTTCTACCGCCTCTTCATAAACCTCACACATTCCACAAGCTGCGCACTGCTGTGACTCTACTGAGAGCTTGTTCCAGGCCTCCCGTAGACTGTAGACATATTCCAGGAGGTTGCGGTCATGACGGCTATGTGTGGAATGAACCCCAGCGTCAACGTTTCAACAGGAAGCACCCCCCACAGACGCAGGGCTGGGATGTAACTGAAGAATATGCTTTCAGAAAATTCATTTCTAAATACAAATACTCAATCTGAAGTAAGGTTTGAATCCTGCTTATATTTGTGACAATGTAACCTTTATTTAACCAGAATAATCCAATTGAGATAAAAATAAATCCTCTTTTCCAGTCCTGGCCAAGAGGAATTCACAATACACAACACAATTCATATCGAACATCTGAAACATACAATCATTCATTTTCAAGTTTAGTTAAGTGTCTTGCCAAAAGAAGCAATGACAACAGACATGAGAGGGAGCCGTTGGAGTAGGTCTCGCGGGGGAATCGAACCCACATCCTTCTACCAAATGAGCCACTGTTGCCCGCATGTCTGAAAACACACCGTAAAACGTGTAAAGTGAAAAATATGGTGGTCTGTAAATACCAGACACTGATTGGGAGCAACATAGATGTGCGGATTTTGCATTTTTTAAATCCAGTTTGTTAGGCCAGACTACAGGCATGTGCGGCCTTATTTGAAACCTTCTCAAAATATACAGTAAACAATATTAGTTACTCAATTTTGCTGGGAAACATAGACATCGTATTAATTTTCTCTATTTTAGAAAATGCTGTACTTTAGAAATGTTTTATCATACCTTAATCTTTCTCTACTTTTGACTCGTTTGCCCCAACAGCCAAAGCAATTTCCTTGTCTTTGACTTCCTGTTACTTACATGGCAATAAAAATGATTCTGATTCTTATCCATCAGACCTGCGCTGATAATAAACCATAAATAAACCATGGTACTGTATTTACTGATGTGACAGGGAACGCTTTGAAGACAATTCTAGCAATAACTAAAAGGCGGCCATGTTGAACTCACCTTCCAGATGATGATGACATTTATGGTCTCACCTCAGTCCAATGAATATACGTGACAAAGGCTCTTTTCTGATCCAAACGCTTAGGTGTTGGACTCTCTTGCATTCAGAAAACAACCCAAGTGAACCTTTGATCTGAACCCGTTCCAAGTAC